CTCTCTATCTCATCTCTCTCTCTCTCTCTCCCCCTCCTTTCTCTCTCTCTCTCTCTCTCTCTCTCTCTCCTCCTCTCTCTCTCCTCTCTCTTTCTCTCCCTCTTTTTCTCTCTCCCTCTCTTCTCTCTCCCTCTCTTTTCTCTCCCTCTCTCTCCTCTTTTCTCTCTCCCTATCTCCTTCTCTCGCCCTCTTTTTCTCTCTCCCTCTTTTTCTCTCTCCCTCTCTTTCTCTCTCCCTCTCTTTCTCTTATATATATACAATTCTGTTTCTCACGGTTATGTTGTTGTCTGCTTAGCGTAAAGGGAAGTCTAATTTCTAAGAGTTTTCATGTAGAGAAAAATTGTAAACCTTTAGAACTAAGACTGAAAAAGTTCATTTTAATATAAAGCTTTTTTATGAGGAAAAAAGAGTATTTAGCATAGATTTGAGTTGTGTAATAAGGATGACGACACTAAAGATGATGATAGTGATGATAATGATAATGAAATTAATGATAATGAGTATGATGTTCACAATAGTGATATTAATAATAACAGCAGTAGTACAAGCAATAACGAAATAACTATGATAAAGATAACACTGACTATTAAGACCATGACACTAAAACAGAAATAACCATAATGATGGTGATGATAAAATGACAATGATAATAAGGATAGAAGCGATAATAATAATAATCTTGATAAGACTAGCTAGAGGTGGATAAGGTGATGAAGATAAGGGCAATAAAGGTGATGATAGTCATAACACTATTGACTATTGGGATTAGTATCAAATCAATGCATCTATTTAATTATCTACATCCATCTTTATCTCTTTATTCCTAATGGATACATACATGCATAAATACATACACATAAATGCACGCATTAATATGTGATCTATATAATATATATGTGTGTGTGCGTGATGTATACATACCAATATATATATACACATATATATAGCATATGTATAATACACACATATGTGTATATATTATATAATGTACAGTATATATATATATATATATATATATATATATATATATATATATATATATATATATATATATATATATATATATATATATGCGTGTATGTGTGTGTGTGTGTATAAATTTACATTTGTTGTATTTGTCAGTATCAGTTTTAGTGCACATGATGAAAATGTTACTTTGGTATCCCTGTCACTGCCTGGGGCTATTGACATTAAGGAAAAAAAAAAGTCTTATGTAATTTTAATGTGGGTAGCATGACTTAACGGTCTTAGGCTCGTGGGGTAAACTGAATCTATTCCTACAACGGCCATAGACACATATTTAGTGAACAACGTTTTTTTCCTATATACAAATAATAAACAGATGGCAAATCACAATGAATTTTGAATCTATACCTTTCCTTTGCCTACTAATCAAAAAATCAATAATAATTGCTATATACATAATAAAACAGACAAACAGTCACCTCAACTCCCTCATATTTTCTGTTATTACCTTGGATGAAAAAATGATCCTTCACCTCTAAAGTCCATAATTTTCCTTTCCTACACTTTGATCTCAAGTATCCTTCCCACTTTGTTTGTGTGTGTGTGTGTGTGTGTGTGTGTATGCGTGTGCGTGTGTTTGTGTGTGTTGCGTGTGTGTGTGTGTGTGTATGCGTGTGCGTGCCGCATGTGTGTGTGTGTGTATGCATGTGTGTGTGTGTGTATGCGTATGTGTGTGTGTGTATGTGTCTTTATGTGTGTGTGCATGTGTGAGTCTGCATGCATATACGTGTATCCATATGCGCATAAATACTTCAAAAACACAAATAATGATCCTGACTCCTTTCATTCCTACAAAGCGAAACGCTAATTAACTGCATCAATAAAAGTTCACTAATTAGGAAATATTACGTAATAAGGCTTTCATCACACAGACTCCCAGCCGGCAGTAAGGGCGAAATCACCTTTGTTACCTATGAACACTACACCTTAACGAATCAATGGCTTCCCTAGGGTTGATAAAAGTGCCCCTTAATCAAAGTGGTTTTAGTGATATACAATCTATTAAGAGTTCTAGCAAGTTTAAGTAGTCTTCTAGTCTTGATGATTTGAATTAAGTTTAATCATGAGCCAAGAGATAATTAGAGATTTCACTGTAAAGAAATGTGTTATCGTCATATAATTCCAAAGTTTCAGGGAAGTGATAAGGGTAATGATAATAATGACGATGATGATGATGATAATATATAATAATGATTATATAACGTAGAATAATAATAATGATCATAAAAATAATGATAAAAAAATAATGATAATGATACAAAATAATGATAATAATGGTAATAATAATGATCATGGTAATAATAATAATAATGATGATAATAATAATAGTAATTATTATCATTAGTATTACTAATATTATTATCATTGTTGTTATCATAACTATTATCATCATTATCATTATTACTATTTTCATTATAATCATTATCATTAATAATAGTATTATTGCCATTAATCATTAATAGTATTGATACTA